TTTTTAAGCTAATTAGATTTTACTTATTAATTGTCAGAAATCCTAATTTAAAAATAATTATTGACCTACTAATCTATTTAATTTCTCATCTAAAAATAATAAAGGAAAAGATAGAAATAAGTTTCTCATTATATAGCTATTGATGTTTTAATTCACAATTCTAACAATAACAAAAATAATGTAACATAAATAAAAGCTCAATCAAATTTTCAATATGTTTACTGGTTTGCAAAAAGTAATAATTGATAAATTACATATTTTCAAATTAGAAAAAATTCAGTTGAATTCAGATCCAACTTCTATTATTCCTTTTCTAAATAATTTTTCTAAGATTATATCTTTTAATTCAAATAATAATATTAATCAATATAAACATATATGAGTTGTTACCTTATCATCAGATAAAAATAGTACTAAAAATATTGATTCTAAAGCTCAAGCTTATATTGACAAATAAAATATCATAATTCTTGATTAAAAGTTTTAGATAAAGAAAATGATGATGCAAATTCAACTCCTTCCTAAATATCATGTTTTTAAAACATTTATAATGTGTTTTTAATTTATTAATTTCTTTTATACTTAGACAGAGATGACGTTATTTTTAAATTTAATATAATAAACATAAAAAAATGAAAATTAAAACATGTTTAAGATAATGATTTAATGTAAAACACGTATTTAAATTTAATTTTATTTAATTATTAAATATGATTATTATCAATTTTAAAAACAGTTCATAGAAAACATAAGTAATTACGCATTTTGATCATTTTTAAGAAGAAAATTCTGAAAAAGCTATTATAAAAACAAATATATTTATATTTATAGGTTTCTTTATTACTAAGATTTTACTATAGTTTATTGATTAAATATATTATACTAGGTATTATGAAAAGGAGTAGAGGAAATGAGTAGAGTATATCACGTGTTATGATGTTAAGTATGGTTTTTGTCATACTGAATTGTTAGGAGTTAGGGTTAGATTAGGGTTAGGTAAGGGTTTGGTTAGTATAAAAAATATACTCAACATCATAACACGTGATATACTACTCATTTCCTCCACTTGACTCCACTCCTTTTCGTATCACTCTATTATACTATCATAAAAGTATATTTTACTCTACTTGAAATGAATGTTCGTTTTTTATAAATTAATTTTATAACATACAAACCTATAACATTTAAAATTTTAATATGAAAAACCCAGAAGTAAAAAGATAGTTAGGGAGAAAATCTATCCTAAATATGTTCAAAACTTAGAAGAAATTCATGAAAGCAGAAGAGATATACCTATTTGACTTACCTGTGATTAAATATATTATACTAATATTAATTGATCATACAAAAGTATAATTTAACCACAAACATGAATTTTTCGGACTTGCGAAAATTATATAACAATAGAAAATTGAAGAACGGATGGGATATGACGCGATGTGACAAATTCTTAACTAATCCTAATTCTACCCTAATCCTAATCCTAATCCAAGCCCTAATTCTAGTAATAACCCTAATAATAAATACCCGGAAAATAAAATCCGGCTACCATATTTTACGGGCGACGCTATGTTCGTGTCGGAGGTTTATAGGTGATAACCACTATAGGATATTTTTTTGTTAGTATTAAGAAATATCTTTAAAGGAAAATTATATAATTAAACTATTATTTTAAATTATAAATTTTAAAAGAAACAATTAATATTTAAGTAAAATATTTATGATTAATTTTTAATACAATATTTTATAATCCTATTATAATAAATAAGATATTAAAATATTATTTGCTTAAAATGATTAACCTTTTTATAAAGCGTGATATTATATAAATTTAAACTTGGCTTATAATTATTCACCGGGTTTTAGAAAATAATTTTTTTTTATCTGTACATTTAAATGTCATTCGACGATAAATTACATATAACAATTTTTTAAATGAATTCATTTGATTCTAATATTTTATTATACAAATACAAATAAATATAAATAAATCAATATATTTTTTTTGAAATTTGAGTAGGAAAAAATTAAGAGAGATTGATTCTATATAAATTTAACTAATTTATTCAAAGAAAAATATAAAATCGTAAATTTTTATAAAAAAAAACTATCATTATTGTTCTTTACAATTTTTCTTTTCTTAGGTTTAAGATTATTTAATAGGTTATTTGAATTTTTTTATTTTTTAGTATTGTTTTTTTTTTATTTGAATAAAACGTGTTTTATTCACTTTTGTTCATTAAACATCTTTCTAATCATCTCGGTTGGGTAAGATTTTGGTCGTTCAATTGGGAATCCCCTATTAAAATAATAAAACTTGTTAATTAAAATATAAAATACGACGATAGTGCTTTGTTGAAAAGAGAATTACTTACAAGGCACGATCCCAGATTAATTGAGATAAAACACCTAAAGCTCTTGAAACACCAAATAGTACAGTATAATAATTTTGTTCTACTAAACCAAAATGTTGCAATAATACACCAGAATGAGCGTCAACATTTGGCCAAGGATTCCTAGTTTTACCATGTTCAAGTAACACGCCTGGTACAATATTATAAAGTTGTGAAACTAATTTAAAGAGAGGATCCTGCGGAAGACGTTTTAATGCAAATTCACGTTGTGCTTCATAACGTGGATCCTACGACGACCAAATATATAAATATAAATAAATATATATACAAACATAAAAACTTTATTGACAAAATATTTGAACTTACCGTTCGGCGAAGAACTGCGTGACCATATCCCGGTACAACTTTACCGGATTTCAAAGTTTTCCAAACATACCCTTTAACAGTTTCATCGGATGGTGCATCCCCGATTTCATCTCTCATCTTGAGAATCCAACGAACGACTTCTTGATTTGCAAGACTTTTTTTTTTTAAAAAAAAAAATATATATAAGGATTATTTTTTTAACTAAATAAATGTAGAAAGCCTGCTAAATAACAGTAGTGAAATTTACCCATGTAGTGGACCTGCTAATCCATTGAGACAAGCTGAAAATGAGATGTAAGGATCAGAAAGTGCACTTCCCACGAGTCTCTGTAATTAGATTAAATAGAATTTTAACAAGAGATTGAGTAAAAATTTGACATAAGCGAAAATAAAACAAATCTATTTACCATAGTGTGAGCTGATACATTTCCACCTTCATGGTCAGAATGAATTGTAAGATAAAGTCTTAATAATTCGACAAAATCTTTATCTTCCGAATATCCAAGAATTTTAGCCAAATTATAAGAATAATCTTTATCCATTTCAATAGAAGGAACCTTTCCATCTTTGTAAACATTTCTATAGATTCTACCAGCAATAGCCGGCAATTTTGAGATTAAATCCATAGCATCTTCATAAGCATATTGCCAATATTCACTTTTATTAACACCAGATTGATAAGCTTTAGCAAAAGAAGAATCATGTTGTAGAGCAGTAACAGCTAGAGAAAATTGTGACATTGGATGCAAAGTATTTGGACATCTATCAATTAAATCTTCAACAAATGAAGGAATTGAAGATCGAGCTGCCCATTCAGCAGATATAGCATCAACTTGTTCTTTTGTTGGAATTTCCCCAGTTAACAACAACCAAAATAATCCTTCAGGTAACGGTTCTTCTCCACCGTCTGCCGCCGGGAGCCTTTTTCTACAATCGGGTATAGTGAGACCTCTAAATTCAATACCTTCTTCGGGATCTAACACTGAACCTTCCCAAATCAAACCTTTGATACCTCTCATGCCTCCATAAACCATATCAACCGTTACATTTCCTAAACTTTTGGCTCCATGTTCTTTTTTAACTTGCTTTATTTCCTCTTGTTTCAATGGAATTAATTCTTCAAGTCGTTCTTTAAGGGACTTTATTGTGACAATGAAAAGAATTAGTCAAAAAACTAAAATAAAAAAAGAAAATGATAATAAAATATTCAAATATATAAATTTAGAATTTTTGTTGATTAAATTGACTTATCAGATCAACCGCATAGTTCTTGATAATTTATTAATTTGATCAAGTCTTGGTCTTTAAACTAATTCTTATAAGCATACATACTTTAGATTTTGAAGCGTGTAAACTTCGAATGGCACCAGTGATAGTCGCAGGATAAATTTGCCTTGCCAAAGGTAATGCCGTTGATAAAGGTTTAGCAGTTAATTTCTAAAACAAAATAAATAATCAAAAAAAATTTACAAATTTATCAAAAAAAAAAGGTGTATATATCATATAAATTAAATTCTATAATTATGAGTAAAATATCAACCTTTGATAAGCTAAAGGAAGCGCGAGATAATGGACGTGAGAACGACATGATATATGTTTTTTATTTTTATTTTTTCAAATAAGAAAATATCTGTAAAAAAAAAATAGTTGATCTAAAAATTGATGATTTTATATTATCAATATTCCGGTAAAAGAAATCGGGGATGACCGGAATAGTCAATCAATTTTTAAATTAACATAAAAAAAAAATCTTTCATTTAGCAGTCCCACATGTCTTTTTAATCTTTTTTAATCCAAATTCTTGGATCCTAAAAGGTTTTTCGCGCCATTCCATCATAAACAGTTTAATTTGAAATTTATTATCATAATAATTTTCGTGTTACAAAATTATGAAATCTCGTATTACTTGCTTGGAGACTAGAACCGAGGCGGAAATGATTGTCCCACAAAACGGCGGTAGATGACGCGGTTAGAAATCCGGAAATAAAAATTATGCATTAATATCTTTGAAGTTACCAAATATAGAAAATTATTAGATTTTTTTATTCATCTTACATATTCATCTTATTCATCTTAATCTTTTAAAAAAAAAAATGAATTGCGCAACTTCTTACACGTTTACTAAATACAACCTTGGCCTGAATTAAAAGAATCAAAAAATTTTGGGTAGAATTATCTTTTAATTTTCCCGATTATTTCCGAGAGTAGATCCGATAAAGTCCGAGTAACCTTTTTTTTAAATCATCTATTCACAAACATTAGAATATTTTGTTAAAAAAAATGTCAACGTTATTATCGAATCGTACAATAACCACATCTAAAAGCGTTCAAATCATCTCCAACAAATCATCAAATTTATTTGTCAATTTATTGGAATCAAGAATTTTTAGTAGAACTGCTAAATATAGAAAAGTAACAATAGAACTATTAACCCCCGTTAAAAATCTTGGCGAGAAAGGTTGTTAAATAATGCATAATTGATTATTAAACGTAATTGAACATTAATAACAATTTTAAATTTGTTGTGTAGGTGAAATTGTAAAAGTCAAACCTGGTAAAAAAGATTTTAAAAAAAAATATTTAAAAATGAAGAATAAGAAACGGTCATTAAATCAATATCATTGTTAATTTATAAAGGATATATGAGAAACGATTTGTATCCTAGCCGTAAAGCAAATTATTTTATACCAACAGTAGGAAAGAACAAGTCACTTCAATCAAAAGGCCCTTCACAAATACATCAAATAGCCAAGGGAGGACAAATCACATTGGCCATACTTGGAAGATCATATGCTGTACGTTAATTTCACATCAAAATATATAAATTTAATGAATCAATTCAACTAACCTCTCTTAATTTTTTTTTTCTTTGTACGCGTTTTGTATAAGGATAAAAAAAAGAATGCACCAAGAGTGTTACAATATTTTGAAGAAATACAAAAGAAAGTTGCCATCCTTAATCATATTCCTTCTTTAGATTTTGATCGTGATTTGGATGGAGATCTTAACATTCCTACTAAACTTCAAAATCCCGTAAAACTTGAAGATATTTTAAATCGCGTTAAAAGTGGTTATAACATGATCTTTAATTTAGATGATATTGAATTTCATGAAAATAATTCTGGTGAAATTCATCGGACCGGAGATTATAAATGTTTATTCCATTTCCGTGAAATTCAACTTAAAGTTCCCGTAAAAATTGTTGTAAAACCATCAATTGGATTTCAAGGAACAAAAGAAACTGTCATCAGATGAATGCAAGTTGGCAAACTAAATTTGTAGCAAATTAAATTAATTAAATTAAAAGTTGAACTATGGTAAATAACCCGTGAGATATGATCCCGTGACTTTAAGGATGCGCCGAGATTAAAATTATTAATAATATAAAGTGTAAACACAGAATTTCACGTACATGATTTTTGGCCAACATTATGAAACTTGGCTGAAATTAACATTTGGCGAATAATGCGACAAATAGGAATTTCACCCCCGAATACATGTATGACATGTTTTAGAGATCACGTGAAGTGAAATTTTTCGCGGCCATCAAAATTTCAAAAAAAAACAAAACGTATATTTTATCAGAACAAAAATGTCCAAACAAATTCCGTTCAAGAATTATGGGAAGGCTCGAATTGATACTTCAGATCCAAATTTCATACAAGCCGAAATAAATCCGGCAGAAATTGACCAGAAAGCTGCTAATGCACGCTATAATTCTCCAGGACCTTCAGATATTCGGGCAACAGCTTGTCGAGGATGTTATCAACTCGAAAGACTACTCGAAATTGCTAAAGAAATTCAAGAAATCGTGTTGTCTCTTAACTACAAATCTATGAATGTTGCAGAAATTCGCGCAAACATTCCTCCCAAAAAAATTCAAGAATCGGAAAGTCGGATTGTAAACTTAAAATATTTTATAAAACGTTTACAGGACACCAAGGTAGAAATTACGCTTCCTTATCACCTTGACAATTTTAACGTGAATGCCTTCATTGATGAAATAATTCGATCCATCGATAAAGAATGAATGTAAGTTAAAAAATTTAAATTCGATTAAAAGTTAGTTCGTTCTCGATCTAAAATGTGATTTAAATTTTACAGTTTTAAACATCACACAACTCAAAGATTTATTCAATTATCCGAAATATTATCAAATAATAAAATTATATGTAACATGAGACTTTATTTACTTTCATTATATTCACTCTATAAATTAGATGTTTTTACCTTTTAGGAATCTATAAACAGAATAATACATAATAACGAAATAATATTAATATTCACGTCAAGAGCAAAGAAAAAATTTTTCATTTTATTTATAAGGATGATGTTTCTTGGTTTTAACATCGATATTCCTTTCTTTCCATGTGCTCTTTCGTAATTTTATTGGTCTGTTTCCGACGTATTTGCCTATTAGATAAGAAGAAAATTTATTACTAAAACTTTTCGATATTATTAGCCTTCACTTAAATAAATAATAAATTACCATTCATTTCTTTCCATGCTTTCACAAATTCATCGGCATCTTTGAAACTAACAAAACCATATCCTTTACTTTTACCTGTCCTTTTATCCCGTATAACTTTGGCCTTTTGAATAGATGGGTACTTGCAAAAAGCTTTGTAAAGAACATCATCTGTGACTTCATTACCGAGATCACCGCAGAATAAACGAAAATCATCTGTTTTTAAGAAAATAAAAAAAAAAAGAACGTAATTACATAAAAGAAAAACCTTGGAAATTTTCTTCTTTTTCCTTTTTTTAAGGAAAAAAACATGATAATAATAATAATGAACTTACTCAAATCCCATTCTAATAAAGTTGGATCCTCCCAAACTTCACCACCTGCAGCTCTTATAATCGTTTTTTGTTTTTTTTTCGAGGATTGTTGTTTATTACTACTACTCATTCCTGATTGTTCATTAGTTCCAGTCATCATTTCATCTTTTGTCGGACCATGGAAGCTTGAACTCAACCCTCTATCCTGTTGATGCTGATTATGCCCAGATTTGTTATTAATTGAAGCGTTAGAAGATAAAGAAACTGTAGTGTTAATCATAGATGGAGGAGCCTCAACTACAGTAGCTGTCGTTGCAGTTGATGTTGCCGCAGTTCCTCCCGTTGAAGGATAATAGTAAGCACTAGCATTATAAGTAGAATAATCGCCGTACCCTTCATATCCACTAGTTGTCGAATTGCTTGTATAATGAACTGCGTTGGAAGAATACGCATTGTAATCATATCCATAGTATGTTTGAGGCGGATCTGTTGACGGAGTTGTATTAGAAACATAGTTATTAGGGTCGTAAGGGTATGGAACTTGTGAATGATTTTGACCTGACATGGCTGTAACTTTATAGATCTAAGAGACGAGACGAAGTTTAGCGACGACTTAATCTTATGCATTTGCAATTTAGGAGATCTTCCAGACGATTCTAATTAATCAGTTCGAAATAGTCACGTGATCGTAAATCATTTATCTTTAACAAAATGATTTTATTAAATAATGCTACTTAAAATTCCTATTTTCTTTAAATCATTATTTTATTTAATAAAATAATTAGTATTAATACAAATAATATTCTTAATAATTATGACAAATAGAATAAGAGCATTTTCAAGCATCTAACTCAATGTTTAAAAATAAAATTTTAATTAATTAAAATTTGATTTTAAAATATCAAATGATTTACTATTCTAATAAATAAAATATGAAAGCCTAAACCATTTTGGTTAGCTGAAATTTATCATTAATAAAGTATAAAATAGGATAGTTTAAACATTTGTATAGGTTAATTTAAACTTAAAAATAAAGAAAAATTACTTATATATTAATTGCAATTAATCATAATACATAAACATAATCTCAATTACTAGTTAATTACATTAAGAAAGATATTTAAAATATCCTAAATCAGTTTCTTTAAAATATAAAATATAAATAAATTTAATATACTTAAAGTATATAATAATTTCTATACTTTAATATTAATTAATTTTAATGATATTCAAAATTAATTATATCAATTTAATATTTATTATAAATTATTAATAAAATAATTATGTCTGTTAAAATATAATTCATTTGTCAAAATACAATTTAATTAGTAATTTATCAATTTACACTGAAGTATAATCATTTTTATATAAATAAATTTATTTAATAAATCTAAAAATTAATAAATCATCTAAATAGTAAAAAAATAAACTTAAAAAATTTATATTAAAATCTTAATAAAAATTAAGTAATTTTATCAAATTTAAGATAAATAATTTTAAATATAAGATTTATGTAAAAAAAAATTTATATTCTTTATATTAATTTTTAAAATATAAAAATAAGATAATATCAAAATTTTAATTTAATAATTATGTAATTTTATTTTAAAATTTTTGCTAATCTTTTATTTATATAATATAAAATCTATTAATTAAAAATAAAAATTTTATATAATTAAAAAAACCAAAAAAATATATTTAATTTATTTTTTAAAAATTTTATTTTATTTTATCTTTACTTTTTAACTTTGTCAAAAGATTTAATTTAAAATTAAAAATTAAATCAATATTCTAAAACTAAGAACTATAATTAATAATTTAAAATTAATATTAAAAATTTTTTAATTCTTTAATTATTATCTTATTATCTATTATTTTTTCAATATTTTTAGATAACTGATAATATGACTTATATTTATTTTAATAATCATATCTTTTAGTTTTTTATCATATATGTTCATATACCTTTATAACTTTTATATAAATTTATGAATAATTATTATCAATAAGTTCATATACCTTTATAACTTTTATATAAATTTATGAATAATTATTATCAATAAGTTCATATACAGTCAAATTTAATAGAATACCACATGTAATATAATTTATATTGCATGTGATATTCCACTTACTCTAGATTATAGTATCATATATAATCTAAATATTACATATAATCTATATATCACATATAATTTAAATATCATATATAATCTAAATAATATGATCTAATTACCACATATAATCTAAATATTGTAATCTAAATACTGTATATAATCTAACGCTTTTATTATTTTCTTATATCTCTTTTATATTCTAACTATATCTTTAAGTTTTCTTGATATTCGTGTTCTTTATGTTAATATATTTTTTTATTACCATATTATAATCTAATTCCTACATACATATAATCTAAATATCACATTTTTCTTTTTATTTCTGAATTATTTACATACTAAATTCTATAATAAGATTATTGACCTTCTGTAGTTGTTTAGATACCTGATTTTATGTTGAAGTGCTGACCTTCTGCGTCTAATTGGATGCTAAATTCTATATTGAAATGCTTACCCTTTATACTTGTTTGATTGTTTGTTAAAATGCCAAATTGTGATAAAAGAATTGTATCTAATGACGCAGTAATAATATATAAATTTGCATCTAAATTTGGCTGGTATTATGACATAATTCAGGCTAATCTTTAGAATATATAATTTGAGAATCCAGCTTAACACCATAGAACTGGCAGGAACTAGAGTATTTCTATTAATTCGCTAGTTTCAGACTAGCTTGAATGCTGAGTTTTTATGCTTAAAGATTTGATTAAAATTGTGGAATAATGCTGACTGAATTTATACTACATTTTACTGTATCAGTCACATGATCCTGTTATGGTACTGAATACTCTTTGTTATATAATATAGCAAATTCAATTAGTTAGATATGATATGCATAAGAATCGTTCATTTAGAATGATTGAAGTTATCATTCCAAATGAACGATAAAAAATTGTTCAATTAGAATGATTAAAATTATCGTTCTAAACAAACGATAAGAAAATCGTTCAATTAGAATGATTAAATTATCATTCTAAAAGAAATTATCGTTTCAAATGATCTAAAATTTCGGATTAATCTGAAAATTTTGTTTCAGTTCAGATTTTTACCAGTTTACAGTTCAGTTTAGTTTCAGATTAGCATTTTTAAGATTTTAATTTGAACTGAACTGAACTATTTGAAGTATTAATCCAATACGAGCAAAGGAGTTTCTTACCTAAATTCAGAAAGCAATATCAGAAAAATTCATTTTCTTATGAAAGAACAAAAGCGATATAGTTAATGTAAATCCAATTAATCTTACTCTAGCTAAATATAAAATTACTTTAAATAAATTAAGGAAGATAGGAGCAGATTATGCTAGCAGGATCCATGGAGGTAGGAATGATTCTTACTGTCAATATTTACAAAAGTTAGCTTGCAAACAAGTAGTAGGTCATCATGAATCAAAAAAAAGTTATACCATAATGAATGATTCACCTTCTTGCAATTATTCGAAGGTATCTCTAAAGAATTAGATAAAGATAAAGAAAAAGTGGATTAATCCTGATAATAATTTGTATATGTTTATCTGATCAAGCAAACCTATTCATGCTTTTCAATGAAAACTAATCACATATATAGATTAGAGGGATTTTAGAGGAATCAGATCGAGAGGGTTAGCTTTACTAACCTGATATCATTTATTAATTTATTTTTCGTTTGAGATAAAATATATTATATATAAAATATCACAAAAATGATAACTGATCAAAATTATTCATCTGATATATCTAGTGAGTAGAAAGTTATCAGGCATACAGAAAAAATGGCCCAGTTATTTAGACTGGATAAGCAGAATACAGGAGTATATAAGGCACTCTCTAGACAGATTTAGAGGCTCAAGAAATAATTAGAAAATTATCATTCTGAATATAATACTTTAGAAAGAAGGGTAAAAAGATTAGAAAGAATTGTTAGATCCTTAAAAATCGAATTAAAAGATCTAGATAAATGTGTGAATAGGAAAACTGTGGTTGACTTAATAAATGAAATAGTTTCCTTACTGATTGATAAGAAAGATAAGGATTCTTCCTATTCGTCTAAGTCTTCTGAAGATTCTAACTCAGTTGAGATAATTGAGGTAAGAAAAAAAAGGCTGTCCTTCATAAGCAACAAAGAAGAATATGATCAAGAAAGATTAAGCAGATGGTAGTTTAAAGTAAGTCAAGTCAGACACTTTGCATATTTTTTCAGTCAAAGTTATTAAGTTTAATAGATAAATAATTAAAATAGAAAGTGACCAAAAGCATCTGACAATCTTAACTAATATCTTACCTAAGTTTACTTTATTTGAGACTAGTTCATCTAAATCAAGCTCATCTGAAACTAATTCATCAACAGAGACTAGTTCATTTGTAGCAAGCTTATCTGAGACTAGTTTATTTAAATCAAGTTCATCTGAGTTCAGTTCATCTAATTCTGATATTAATGAAATAGTAACATAATTAAGCATAAAAGGATTCAGAAGCGTCTAACCCAAAAGAAAGATCAGAAGAAAAATGTATATAATAATAAATCTTGATTTAAGCTAATTAACAGAAAACAGTGATTATCAGCAGATTAGGCTCAAAATATTTTTTTCAATTAAAGATATAACATAATTTATTAGCAATAAATATAACAATGAGAGGATTATATAGTGATATGATTATAAGAGATACTATTAATTAGGTAGATCAGTCATCCCCTCTGAGCTCTTTGATCTTAAAATCTAAAAAAGATAAAGTACTGGTTTCTATACAAAGTGATAGCTCTATGAGAAAATACATTAAAATGATAAAGCTATATGCTTCAGAAACAAGTTCGGACTTGCAAAGTGAAGAACTTAAAAAAGCTTTCTTTGATAACTTATCACTCAATAATAAAAAGCACGTGATCAGATTTGGGACTGATGAACTTTTAGATGAATTAGTTAAAACTTAGTTAAAGTGACGTCTTCCAATCCTCTATAAGGATATCTATGGAATTAGAGCAGGACAATAATTCAATAGAAGATTTTTATGAAAAGCATAAGAAGTATGCAAAGCTCTCTAGATAAGACGAAAAATAATGTAAATATCAATTTATTCATAGGCTCTCATCTGCAAATCAGTTAAAAGCGAGATTATGTAGATTAAATATGCCTTTGAATGAACTAGTAGATAGATTATTTAAACTTGAAGTGCTAGAGAGACATTTCAGCTAATTTATTTTTTTAATTAAAGATACAACATATAATATAGACTATTTAGCTGAAGATGCGTAGCATGGAATATTCAATCATCATTTATTTACCAGAACTATTAGAACAGATTTTACATTTCATATTGATAAATAAATCCTTTTATCCTGCTCTATTTGTTAGCTGACTTTGATACAGATGTGATGCTTCTATCCTATAAAAGCGTATTGAGCTAAAGAGAAAAGACTTATATTCTGAGCAATCTCTTCTAAATAATTATAATTACTGTACAAAGGATCACCCTCAATTAAATAAATTCATAAGGATAGAATGTGCAAAGAATCTCTCTCAATTGAAAAAATTCATAAAGCTAATATGTAAAAAACAAATGCCAGTTTATTGCTTAAATGTAACTCATCTTGAAATATCATACTACCATTCACTTTCAGATAAAAAAATTATAAGCATTGTGCATTCATACCCAAATATAGTCTATTTGAGTTTCATAAATAACATAGGATTTAGTAATAAAGCATTAAAACTGATATGGTGTAGATCATCTATAAATAGAAATAAAATTGCTCAACTTTAAAATCCTAAAACTTTTGTTTTATATACTATAAAGAAAAAATTATCTATAATAATTATAGAGCGAATAATGAAGAATAAAAGTTATAATTTCAAATATTTAATTGATTAGAAAGTTTTTAAGTTTTAGACGATTAAAAATTATGATTTTCTTATAAAATATTTAAATTTTAGACATCGATCTTATCATGTGACATTGACTTTACCTAATAAAATTTAATCACGTGAAAATTACTCAATGAAATATGTGTAATATGATATAATGCAAATCAATCAGTAAATTTTTTTTTTAAAAAAATTTTTTTCTTCAAGTATGCCTTAACTTATAAAGAGAAAAGCTGTAGTGAAAAACAAAAATCACAATAAGAAAGGAAAATTTAGCACAAAAACTAAATAGATTTATTAAATTATTTAATGTATTTATAAGAAAGAATACATTTATTTAAATTAATGTTTTTTTTCTAGAGCTGAGAATGATGTAGAAGTAAACATATTAGAGAAATAATTAGAGATAGATTTGGATAATACTCTTAGTGAAAGGGATTGGAAAAATGATGAGGTAAGTGATTTGAAAAGTGATATTGATTTAGAAGTAAAATAAGATATACAGAATAGACTTTTAAAGGTGAATTTTGGATTGAAGTGGAGACTGGATGCTAAATTAGAAAAAGAAAAACGTGGTCCTTATAAAATAAATAAAATATTAAAGTCAACTTATTATGACAAATGGGACCTAGTGGCTCATGGATAGAAGCAGCAAAGAAAATCTGAAAATTAGAGAGATTTTTTAACCGGTAAGATGGATCAATGCAAGAAAGTTTTCAAGATATTTTATTAGATGAAGAAGAAGTTTTTGTGTTAGTCTGGTCATCAGAAGATATGGTTTCAAATTTAGAGAGAGATTTAAAAGAAAATTTTAACAGAATGTTAGCAAAAGAATATATTAAGAAAAGGGCTATATTTGAATATCTTATACGCTTATTAAAAGGAGAGAAAAAGATGAAGGTAAGTATGAATATAGTAAATATAATATACAATAGTAATAGTAAATCAACAGCTACTTGGATTCAACAGATGGCAAAATATTGGTGTATTAATAATGCTCTACCTCTATCTTGTTAGGGAAAACATTAGAAAGTCAGTAGAATTATTGATGATAAAGATATTGCTAATATATGTTATAAGTAAATTCAAAAAAATAGAAACCACACAACTCTGCATCAATTTAAAGAATTTGTTCAAGACATATTATTATCAAAAGCAGGTATCAATAAAAATATGATTAGTGTAAGTATTGCAAGGCAATGGTTAAATATGCTTGGATATTATTATCAGCAACAAAAATAAGGAATATATTATGATAGGCATGAAAGAGATGATATTGTAAAATATCAAAAAGAGTTTTTATCAAAAATGGCTGAACTTGAAAAATATATGATAACATATGAAGGAGATGATATGAAGAAAATTGCCTTTCTATTACCTTCAGAAGAAAAAGAACATATACTAATAGTTTATGATGAATGTATTTTTTACTCAAATAATAAAAAATGCAGAATATAGGCTAAGTCAAGTGAGTTACCATTATGCAAAAAAGGTAACGAAAATCAATTAAGGTAAGTGAATTTTTAACTAAAGCTTGTAAAAGACTTAAACTAACTGCTGACAATTTGAAAATCATTCTGATGTTTCAGAAGAAGCAAGAGTATATTTAAAACTAAGGAAGAATGATGAAGGATATTGGACAACTGAACGTCTTATTGAGCAGGTTGAATATAAAGCTATTTCTATATTTGAGTCTTATTTTCAAATTATATTAGAGTATTTACTTTTGACAATAGTTCAAATTATTCTGCATTTGCTTCTGATGCATTAGTTGCAAAAAGAATAAATATTAGACCTAGTGAAAATACACTAAAAATGCATGATACTTTTTGGGATCCAAATAATGAAAGACAAAGTATAAATTTTTTTGATGGTTGGTCAAAGGGTATAAAATAAGTTTTGATTGAACGAGGATTGTAAAAAAAAAATATGATAGGAGAATGTAAGTTATATAGAAATAAAGATAATGATCCTCTATGTATAGATTGCTGTGAAAGGCAGATTATATCTCTTTAACCAGATTTTTTAGCTCAGAAATCTGCATTAGTTGAAATAATTGAAAATGCTAATCATGTTTATATATTTTTTTCAAAGTTTCATTGTGAATTAAATTTCATTGAACTCTATTAGGGAGCAACCAAATTATATACATAAAATAATTATAATTACACATGGAATGGATTATAAGAAATAGTTCCTCATGCTTTCAATTCTGTAGATTTAATAACCATTTGTAGATTTGCAAGAAAGATATGGTAATATATGGATTTATATAGGCATGGAATTACAGATAAATTAGCAAAATATGCTGTTAAAAATATAAATTATAGAAAAATTCCTGAAAATGTATTAGAGGAATTAAATAAATAAAATATTTTTCAGCTTTTTTAAAAACTTTTTTGCTTTAATTTCTCATGATTTAATAAATTAAACTACCGTAGAGTGCTGACTAAACCACCCCGGGTATTTTACAAATCTACCCTTAAATTTGCAAAATACCCAGGTAGTTTGATCAGAAGGGTATTTTGTAAGAAGAAGGGTAGCTTGAATGGTTATGTAAATCATCAATATATAAAGTTTTTTGGTGTTCCCATTTTTTGTATTGCGTTCCACTTTTTTTGTATCGCGTTTCACTATTATACTATTAAAAATGGTTAGAGCAAATAAAAGTGCCAAGCGTT